TATTTGACCTCTGTCCCTGTCTCTCCTCTGGAAGTCGGAGCTGGTTCTTCTGTGGCTTTATGACTGTCTCCTTGTTTTGGCATGGGTGTTCCCTTTTAATTAAAAGAACACAGGGTGGCCTTTAATCAAAATGATAGCGTGAAGAGGAATGGTTTGACCTGTCTGTGCAGGGGATGGCTACAAACAATGTGTCTGTAGGACATCCGTACCCCTGAGCTATAGTTTCTATAATTCTTTAACTTCATACTGTGACCAGTTGCCTACTGGGATACATGACCCCCTCCTTGTTTGCAGCATTCTTCTGTTTCTTCCTCCCTACATCATATGACCTGACTTGTCCAGCAGTCGCCTGTGACCTCTTGGGCTTGTGACAGCCTTTCTTGAAGATGAAAATATTATGATCAAGACTTAACAGCTTCTCGTCCTGAAACTATGCATTGCAGGACAGGATTAAAATCCACTCATTTTGTCAGTGTGCTGGTGGTGGCACCTTTCAAACTCCAAACAGGACCACTCTCAAATGGGTTTCCTTCCTATACAATTACCCCTGACTGAGGGTGGAGTAGGGCGGAAGGGACCTTCAGAGATTCCCCTGTGTGGACTTGAAAGTTTCTATCTCTGTGAACTTTACATCAAACGGTCACGGGCTGCTGCTTGCTCTTTGAAGTGGCAGAGGGGGGGTATCAGAGCTGAATACAGTCCCCTGCCTCGACATGTTCCAGTTCAAAATGGACTCTGCTGCAGTGTAAAAACAGCTCAGCTAAAGGTCTGCTGAGAATGGCACATGATCAAGGCTAAGGACATATCTTTCTGTTACCTACACACAGCTATTGAAGTTTCTTTCACGCCTTCAAGGTTCAGATGGGTAGTGAGTTTTTCAAACAGAAAAGCTATTTTGGAGCTGATGTCTTAGGGGAATAAAAATATCAAAAGAAACATTTTCACAGGACTATTACAGCTCTTACTGCTGCTTTAACTTGCACCTGCACAGCTACTAACTACTGTGGCTATAATAATGCCACCAGCTGGCTACTTTAACTAACATGCTAAAAGTTCATTTTTAGCATGCTACATAATCACTGTAACTACAAAAAAAAAAGAGATGTGAAATTATTCACAGTAAATGCTCAGTGTTAAAGAGTATTGTGGCTTCACTATTAAATGTAATTTGTAGGCGTTTCACTTCACTGAATTCTGTCCACTCATGCTGATATCATAGATCACACCCTTTATTGTAATGTCCTTTTACTGTCATTTTTTTATTACTGTTACTGCATCACTTTCTGTGACTATTGGGTAACTTAATGTCGGATAACACACATAATATACCATATATCATCCACAAAGATTTTTTAATTGTATATGTGGAGTGCCTCAGGGTTCTGTTTTGGGACCTAAATTATTTATACTATACATTAATGATATATGTAAGGTTTCTGATTTAGTGAAAGTGGTTTTGTTTGCTGATGACACTACCATATGGGCATCGGGTGAAAACCTACGGCAACTCTCTGGACGGGTTACACAGGAACTTGAGAAGATAAAGAAATGGTGTGACAGTAATATAGTATCTCTGAATTTGGAGAAAACTAAATTTATGGTATTTGGGAATCGTAGACTAGACAATGAACTTCAATTGAAAATTGGGGGAGCTAATATAGAA